TTTTTATTCTCAAATACTGTCATGCTGTTTGTTGGAAAGGGTACTTTGCTACCACAAATACAGATATTTATTATCTTAGTGGTGTTTCTACTTGGACCATTCTTAAGAGAGGTTAGTGTAAGTGGGAAGAAAGAGACAAAATTAAATGAAGAAGTAAGGGGTTTTATTGTTTTTGTAATTATTTTGTTATAAATCAAAACCTAGTTCACTTTTGGAGTATAATTTGTCCATATTTATGAGAGCAATTTCTGGAGTACAGAACAAATAAAGGTACTGGTCTTATTTAGAGCTGTGGCTTTTATGAAATTGTAGCCCATTCATAGGATTATGAATCTACATTAACCTAGGCTGATATTTTGCTTTATTGACAAAAATATTCTAACAGAATTTTAGAAGTTGTTTTGAAACATGATGATTTTCAAGTTTCCTTAATTTTAATATCTACAAATGAATACATGAGCTGCCTACTTATTGAGATGTCAGAAATACTGGCATTCTTTCATCAACAAATATATTCAAAACACACTCCTCATATCCATTTATTCAACACAGATTTACTGAGTACCTACATTATGTATGACATTGTCCTAGGTGTTAGGGATAAATAAATTTGATCAAGATTCACAAAATTGTCTACTCTCTTTGAGTTCATATTCTAGGTATATGTATAGAATTTTACTTTATAAATACAGAGTTGTAAATCAATATCCACAGAGATACCCTCATTGGTATATATATAAGTACACTCCTGTGACATCAGATGTTTATGTCAATCCTAAATAGATATTCCCAGAGCAATACTGATTTGTTTGTGATTTTTTAATCATTTCGTATAATAAATTACCAAGATCATCAGAAAAATCATTTTACAACATATGCCTTCTAAAATGTACATAATGAATGACTCATAAGCACATAAAAAGACATACAACACCAGCAGTCATTAAGGAAATGCATACTGAAACAACAATGAAATACCATTTCACAATCACTAGAATGGCTAAAATAAAAAAACTGGAACACAAATACGTTGCTGGTGGAAAAGAAAATAGTTTACAGCCACTATGGAAAATCGTTTGGCAGTTTCTCAAATGTTAAAGCAGCAATTCCACTTCTAGTTATATATCCAAAGGAATGAAAACATGCACACACATGTTTGCAGTAGCATTATTCATAAAAGTCACAATGTAGAAACAACTGAAATATTTACCATCTACTGAATGGATAAACACAATGCAGTTTATTCACAAAAAACAATTCTACTTATCAATAAAAGGCAACTACAGATATATGCTGTAACATGGACAAGCTTCATTATGCTAAGTGAAAGAACCTGGATGCAAGAGACTGTATGTTGATAATTCCACCTATATGACATGTCCAGAAAAGGGAAAAAATCTGTGAAGACAGAAAGCAGATTGGTGATTGCCAGGGGAGGAAAGGAAGCTGGGAATAACAGTAGACAGCCTGAAGTGTGTTACTTGGGTGACAATAATGTTCTAAAACTGATATATAGTAATGGTTGCATAACTTGGTAAATTTAGAAAAATCATTGAATTTTACCCTTGCAATGGGTGAATTACATGGTATGTAAACTATGACTCAACAAATTTGTTACAGAAAATACACTACTTTGAGGGATGTACTATCACCATGCAAGAATATTAACAACCTGATTTATAAGACATACAAAACACACACTTTCAGAAGAGAAAACCTTACAGGTATTTGTATTTCTTTCTATAAGAATTGCAAAGAAATTTCAAAACATAAATGAAGATATACCAGATTAAAAACACTGATGAATTTATGGTTAAGCATTAATTTCTGTATTACATAGATTCAAGCATATTGCTTTTGCTTAAATATAAAATGTTAGAATTATCCTTATCAACATCATAAGGTTTACAATGACAATAAACATGCTAAGTGTCATATTTACATTATATCACTTACTCATGTGTTTTCATTCTATTTTATTTTATTTTTTAATGTGTAAGTATAACAACCCTGTGGGGTTAAGAATTATAATTTTCATTTTACACGTGAGAAAACTAGGAGTTTTGATAAGTTAAGTATTAGTCCCAGGTTGTTAACATAGATAGCAAACAGTTGGCTGCCTGCCGTCAAAGCCTGAACTCCTATTCATACACTGCTTCCTTTTGAATAAGTACAAAAACACTAAGTGTTAGATATCCCAAACATTGGGAAAATTCTTGGCTAATTAACTATCTTTATTCATAACTCAATCAGGTTTCAGTGGAAGTGAGCTCCAATTTATTCAAAGATACATTGAGAGAGACTAATATCCCTGATGAACATAGATGCAAAAATTCCTTAACAAAATATTAGCAAACTGAATTAAAAAATATTTCAAAAGAATCACCCATCATGTGAATTAGAAATGAGTACATCTTGCCCAAGCCCCACTCAACTTGTAGAATCATGAACAAATAATTGGTTGTTATTATTTTAGTGACAAAGTTGTGCGGTGGTTTGCTAACCAAGCGTAGAAACCTGAAACAAGGAATATCACTCTCCTTTGCCTAAAGTATGTCAGCACCATTCCCGTATTGTGTCTGATGTGGAAATACTCTTTGCTATAGGCTTTCTAGATAATAAGAAGCTTCTGTAAATTAAAAGATAAGGACATTTTTCTGCAGCATGAAATCAGCAGGTAATTAAAAGATTTTTCTGATTAAATTCTGATAATAAAATAATGGATAAATTACAATACAAAAAGGAGAGACATCACTCATTATACCACAAAAATCAATGTTTATCTTTTGTTACATATTCTTTAGTCTGTTTGTGTATTGACGCATTTTATACAAAAAAATGCATTTTTCATAACTGGGATCACACTTTATATAAAGACTGTACAGTATTTTATTGTCAGCCCATAGTTATCAAGAAACTGATTTGGAGATAATCGCTTAAGGGCATATCTCTTCTTACATGTATCTTAAAATATATAAAACAGTCATCTGTTCTCCCATTTTAGCAAAAATCTGTTATAAGAAACAAATCATAAATGCCTAAAGAAAAATAATTTTAATAAATATATTTTGCCATATGTCATCTGTATGTATTTAGTATAATATCTGTATAAACATAAGAAAAGGTCATGTCACATGAAGTTCATTGTAGATGTTGTTTATCCCATTACATGAAATTTTACTATGAGGATCCAACTGACAAATTTCTTTCTAATTTTGGAACCAAAAAATTACATTTCTCCCAGATAAACTTGGATATAAATTTGTTTATATCTTGTAGACAGGCCCGAACTATGAAGTACTGAACTGTTTTTCTTTTTCAGAGTGTAGAATAAAACATGGGGCTCTCCTGCCAAAAGCATATTTGCATTATTGAAATTTGTTCTCGGACCTGGGTTTTTAATTTATTTCTTTAAATCTACATTTAATTTTTCTCTCTCAGAGAGAATTATGAATCTTTATAAACTATCTATAATACTTTTTATAAAACGGTAGGATTTTAATCAGTTGACTGATCCTGTCCTGTTTTTCCATTTATCATTTCCATTTATTGTTATATAATTAGTATTTTTCCAAAATTTTAATGTACCTGTGTAACATTTTGTATATTAATGCACTATTATTTAATTAACCATACTCAACTGCTGGAGATAATAGATTGATGTTCATTTTTTACTATTATAAAAACTAAGTAACTTTGCACTCAAGTTTTTTCTATCTATCTTCTAAGACTAGAATTTCTTGCTTAACAGGTCTTTAAAAACATGACCACATTTCTTAAGAAAGGCTAACATAATTTGCACTTTCTCAATCAGAATACCTATACTTTACCAGCACTGAGTATTATCATTGTTTGGGATTTTGTTAATATGAACAGTAAAAGGGTATTAAATGAGTTAATGTTCTTTATTTTTTTTGGATTTTTAGCAAGAACCCATATTTTCAATGATGCTTCCTTTATCTCATGTCATGTATTCAAATGTATTCCCACCCATGTGCTAATTCTATACTTTCAAAGAGAAATAATACTTAGCAGACAATTTTTAATTTCAAGTATCAAGACAAAGTCCAATACTGAGAATCTCACTTAAGGAAATAATGCAAAAACAGAAGATATTTACGTGAATGCATATCCACTATGGCATTATTACAGTAGTGAAAAGGGTCACGACATAATGCTCAACATTATTGAAATGGTATGAATAATTTACTTGTAGGGTGAAATATTAAATATTAAAAATTATTCTCACAGAGGTTGCCAATGATCAGATGTTAAGTTAAAATATATTGGAAAAAAAGGGCATTTTTAAACTTCTAATATCGAAACATTCTGCTACACAATGTTAAATTAATAATATTAGGTTAAAAGATGATTTTTTCTACTAAAATGTAAAAAGGTGAAGAAAAGGAGGTAATTCACATTATGTTATCACTGTTTAGTGTATTAGTAGAGCTGTGGATACTTCAACATTCTTCTCTGGAACTTCCATTTTCTGAATTTCACCACACTATACTTTCTCTTTGTTACGTTGTAAATTTATTCTAGATTAAGGAAGAAGCTATATAGCTATATATTTAAGGATATAATACTTTCATTGTTATTATTAAAAAGTTATTTTAATCACATTGCCAATATCCCAATCGCTGCTTATCAATACTTTTGATATATCTTAGCTGAAAGAATTTTTTAAAAACACCTAACAAGACTCCTATTTTAAAAGTTCACTCTTGAAATTAAAAAGTTCAATACAGTTTTTTTTTTTTTAGAACCAAAGGAAAAAAAATATTTGAAGGAGAAAAAAGTATGGAAGAGAAAGATATCTAAAGCATCAAATTTTTGACTCAGTCACTAAAAAAACAAACTATCCTTCTGTGGTCATATAATCTCTCTTTTCAACTGTTACAACATCAATTAAGGTTATGCTATCTCAGCTCAATGCATCCTTTCAGTTCAGTCTGAATATCTCAGTGAAGGATGGCGAGTAAAATCCTGGAGTCTACCTGTCAAATGATGGTTTCTCTCCGCAGTCGAAAGCGTCCTGGAGCTCCTTGACAAGATTAGCCTGGCCCGGCAGTCGGAAGAGCCCCTCCTCCTTCAGCCCCCTTTGTCGGATGAAGTCCACACACTGCTCCACCAGCATGGGAGCCAGCCGGTTCCCATACCTCTTCTCGTAACGGACAGTATCTTCCAGTTTCTGCCCAAAAATGCCTGGAGAAATAAAGGATCCCAATGAATCTGAGAACTGCATCTCTTCTTACTTTGTTGCTTTCTTTTAAAACTCGGTGTGAAGGTAAAACAAAGGCTGGAATGCTTGCAAGCATTTAACATTTCGTACTCCACAGTCTTACAGAATCAAATTCAGTACGTACAATTCTTCAAACGAAAAGGCTTTATCTTATGCTGCCCTTTCCCCCTGTATTTCATATTTAGTCCATAACTGAAATAGAAATACAGAGTTTAATATATCCACTTGGAAATAAGAAACACTGCAATAAATATAATTTTCGTTTTGGATTTTCTTTCTTTTTTTTTCTTCTGGAAATGGAATTGTATTCAAAAGCTTAAAAGCAGAAATATTCTGTAGACAATAGTCAAACTCTACTTTTCTTACATGTTCAGTTTTCATTAAGTTTAATATTGGTCATTTCTCTGCTCACCTTTTGTTTCCAGTCAAGTGATGATGCAATGATTACACAATTGATGAAATCAGGAAAAGAAACCCAGAATTTTCATCCATATGAAATATTTCAGACAGTGTTTACTCTTGAAAACCTTGATCTATTAATTTATTTGAAGGGAAATCTTCTGAATCGTGAAGCAGGGCACACCCAAAGTGAGGAGGCAGGGTCATGGTGGTTGGCCCTGACAGGAGGTTTATTGTACCACCCATTGCCTAGAATTGCCAGTACATGGTGCTAGTGAAAAGCAGGCCAATTTCGATTAGTTTTATTAATGATTTAAAAATATCTACAATGAATTCCTTGGTGCTTCTGTTTGGGGATGAATATCCCCACTATTTATCCTTTGTACCTCACTGATTAAGAAACAATGCCTCTAAAATATATTAACATCAGGTGGTAGCTTGACAAAAATGATCAACCTATGAGAAAAGAGAGGGGGAAAATCCAAAGCAAATGTGACTCCGATGTTCTCAGTTGGGATGAATGTCACTAAATCCTTTAGATGATCTAATGAATTTCATAAAAGGGGACGAAAAAATAGTGTTGCATGTTGAAATTATGTAAGAAGGTTTGGGGAATTATTTCAAAACCATTATGTTAAGGATTTCACAAAAAGAACATATGCTTTATCTATCTGTAAAGAATATAAGATGTATGGATTCAGTAATGAAAAAACCGTCATATTCTAAAAAATAAACACCTACTACCAAAGACAATATTCTTAGCCCAGGTAGAAACAATAATGAAAAAAACAAACCAAATTATTCCAGACCTGACATTAAATCCAGCACTAATGGAATTCCTTTAAGGAAAAAAGTTTGAGTGAGAAGTGTGTATAAAACAGAATTAGAAATGGAATTTTCTAAGGGCAGGAAGATTAATGCAGGTAATAGGCCTGTTTAGCTTAGTTTGAGGACTTTAGAACAAGTCGTTTCTCAGTGACAATGTGTCGGACATTGCTGACTCCATACACAGTCACGCTCTTATTTTCTCTTATCTTCATTTTAGAAGCTGGAAAATTAAATATATCCCCTACTTCAATAGGTTTTCTGAAGTATCTAGGAAAAATTGTTTTCTTGGTGAAAGAGAAAGCATAGGTGGAATTGCCAGCCACTCCTTTTTCCTATCTGGAACTTTGACATCTGTCCACCTAAGGGTCACCTTCTGACTACTAGGTAACAGCCCTGATGGTAAAGCTGAATGATCCAGAGAAAAGGGAGCTGAAACTATGGAAGCACAGACCCAGTGCCAACAGCACCTTCTTCCATATTTTCCTTAAACATGAGAAAAAGAAGCCCCTGTGTGTGTAAGCCACTGTTTTCCATTATGTGCAGCAATGCAGAATTCTGACCCACAGAGTGGTGATAATGAGTTTGAAGATATTCTAGTAGTTTAGTAACAAAGCTTGAAAATGGGTTATGAATGGAGAATATTGACTCTTTCTCGGGAGTTCTTTGATGCTTGTTTGGGTGGGGATGTTTGGATTCTCTCCTGCTAAAATGAAGGTAATAGCCTTTCAAAGGTACTTATAGGATATCTTTTAAAAATAATGCTCACATTTGGGAATAAATCTTATGTACCTGTAACTTTTCACTTACTGTTTTGGATTGATAAATATGTAAGGTTTCCCTCCAAACCCAGCAGAAAATCTACTAAGTATGTTCCAATTCATTTTTTTTTTGTATCATTAATCTACAATTACATGATGAACATTATGTTTAGTAGACTCCCCCCATCACCAAGTTCCCCCCACATACCCCATTACAGTGATTGTCCATCAGTGTAGTAAGATGCTGTACAATCATTACTTGTCTCCTCTGTGTTGTTGTACACCCTTCCCTGTGACCCCACCCCACACTGTGCTTTCTAATCATAATGCCCCTTTTCTTTCACCCCTCCCACCTTATCCCTCCCTTCCCACCCATCCTCCCCAGTCCCTTTCCCTTTGGTAACTGTTAGTCCATTCTTGGATTCTGTCAGTCTCCTGCTGTTTTGCTCCTTCAGCTTTTTCTTTGTTCTTATACTTCACATATGAATGAAATCATTTGGTACTTGTCTTTCTCCACCTGGCTAATTTCACTGAGCATAATACCCTCTAGCTCCATCCATGTTGTTGCAAATGGTAGCATTTGTTTTCTTCTTATGGCTGAATAATATTCCATTGTGTATATGTACCACCTCTTCTTTATCCATTCATCTACTGATGAACACTTAGGTTGCTTCCAGTTCTTGGCTATTGTAAATAGTGCTGTGATAAACATAGGGTGCATCTGTCTTTTTCAAACTGGGCTGCTGCATTCTTAGGGTAAATTCCTAGAAGTGGAATTCCTGGGTCAAATGGTATTTCTATTTTGAGTTTTTGAGGAATCTCCATACTGCTTTCCACAATGGTTGAACTAATTTACATTCCCACCAGCAGTGTAGGAGGGTTCCCCTTTCTCCACATCCTCACCAACATTTGCTGTTGTTTGTATTTTGGATGGTGGCAAGCCTTACTGATGTGAGGTGATAGCTCATTGTGGTTTTTAATTTGCATTTCTCTGATGACTAGAGATGTGGAGCATCTTTTCATGTGTCTGTTGGCCATCTGAATTTCTTCTTTGGAGAACTGTCTGTTCAGTTCCTCTGACCATTTTTTGATTGGATTATTTGCTTTTTGTTTGTTGAGGTGCATGAGCTCTTTATATATTTTGGATGTCAACCCTTTAATGGATCTGTCATTTATGAATATATTCTCCCATACTATAGGATGCTTTTTTGTTCTATTGGTGGTGTCCTTTGCTGTACTGAAGCTTTTAGGTTTGATGTAGTCCCACTACTTCATTTTTGCTTTTGTTTCCCTTGCCCAGGGAGATATGTTCATGAAGAAGTCACTCATGTTTATGTCTAAGAGATTTTTGCCTATGTTCTTTTCTAAGAGTTTTATGGTTTCATGACTTACATTCAGGTCTTTGATTCATTTCGAATTTACTTTTGTGTATGGGGTTAGACAATGATCCAGTTTCATTCTCTTATATGTAGCTGTCCAGTTTTGCCAACACCAACTGTTGAAGAGGGTGTCATTTCCTCATTGTATGTCTATGACTCTTTTATTGTATATTAATTGACCATATATGTGTAAATTAATATCTGACTCTCTATCCTGTTCCACTTGTCTGTGGGTCTGTTCTTGTGCCAGTACCAAATTGTCTTGATTACTGTGGCTTTGTAGTAGAGCTTGAAGTTGGGAAGTTAGATCCCCCCTGCTTTATTCTTCCTTCTCAGGATTTCTTTGGCTTTTCGGGGTCTTTGGTGGTTCCATATGAATTTTAAAACTATTTGTTCCAGTTCATTGAAGAATGCTGTTAGTATTTTGATAGGCAGTGCATTGAATCTGTATATTGCTTTAAGCAAGATGGCCATTTTGAGAATATTAATTTTTGCTAGTGAAGAACATGGGATGAGTTTCGATTTGTTAGTGTCCTCTTTAATTTCTCTTAAGAGTGTCTTGTAGTTTTCATGGTATAGGTCTTTCACTTTCTTGGTTAGGTTTATTCCTAGGTATTTTATGCTTTTTGATGCAATTGTGAATGGAATTGTTTTCCTGATTTCTCTTTCTGTTAGTTCATCGTTAGTGTATAGGAAAGCCTCAGATTTCTGTGTATTAATTTTGTATGCTGCAACTTTGCTGAATTCCAATATTAGTTCTAGTAGTTTTGGAGTGGAGTCTTCAGGGTTTTTTATGTACAATATCATGTCATCTGCAAATAGTGACAGTTTGACTTCTTCTGTACTAATCTGGATGCCTTGTATTTCTTTCTTTCGTCTGATTGCCGTGGCTAGGACCTCCAGTACTATGTTAAATAACAGTAGGGAGAGTAGGCATCCCTGTTTTGTTCCCAGTCTTAGAGGAAAAGCTTTCAGCTTCTCACTGTTATGTATGATGTTGACTGTGGGTTTGTCGTATATGGCCCTTATTATGTTGAGGTACTTGCCCTCTATACCCATTTTGTTGAGAGTTTTTATCATGAATGGATGTTGAATTTCGTTGAATGCTTTTTCAGCGTGTATGGAAATGATCATGTGGTTTTTGTCTTTCTTTTTGTTGATGTGGTGGATGATGTTCTTGGATTTTCAAATGTTGTACCATCCTTGCATCCCTGAGATGGATCCCACTTGATCATGGTGTATGATCTTCTTGATGTATTTTTGCATTCAGTTTGCTAATATTTTGTTGAGTATTTTTGCATTCTTTGTTTATCAAGGATATGGGTCCTTAATTATCTTTTTTGGTGAGATCTTTGCCTGGTTTTGGTATTAGAGTGATAGAATGAGTTTGGAAGTATTCCCTCCTCTTCTATTTTTTGGAAAACTTTAAGGAGAATGGGTATTATGTCTTCTCTGTATGTCTGATAAAATTAATCCATCCAGCAGTTAATCCATCTGGCCTGGGGGTTTTGTTCTTGGGTAGTTTTTTTTTCTGATTCAATTTCTTTGCTGGTAATTGATCTGCTTAGATTTTGTATTTCTTCCTTGGTCAGTCTTGGA